CCCTGTCTGCAAGGTATGAAGCCAGTTTCTAATGTGATTGCTGCTGGTTTAAGGGATCATCTCACATCCTTGCTGTCCCGAGATGCTCTTGCCACTGTCCTTCATTGCAGCCACCTCTCTCTGGCCCATCCTGAACCGTGCAGGCAAGAGGCTGCACGGATGCTAATGCTCCGCGCCTGCAACATGTCGTGGTTGCTACTAAAAATAAAAAAGAGTGAAATTAATTTGCTGATAATGGATGTGCTACTAACAGAAACACATCCCGCTTGTACCTAACACCAGCAGGTTCTTTATGGCATATTTGTTGTGTCTAAAAATGCTCTCAATTCTTTTTTTTTTTTTTTTTTCTAGCAACCAATTTCATTTAAAGACTATTTTCACACATCGCTGGCTGTTAATCAGTTAAGGAGTTATCAGTTTTAATATTAGGAAGAAAGAAGCAGATCCATCAACAACTTAAAACTTCATTTCATTCCTTTTCAGCTGGCTTGCAGCAGATTGCGTGGAGCTTTAGGCTCATGTTATTTCTCCTTCTTTTCCCACCCCCTTGAAAAGAGAGAGAGTACCATTACAGGCAGGACTGTGCTGTGCCAGTTCTATGTATCATTTCAGAAGAATTAGAAACACTGAGACAAAAATAGGTAAGAAGACTAAAATAAGATTTAATTAGAAATTAACCCCTAGACACCCATGTAGTTTTAAATAAAGCCATGGATATTACACGGAGAGATTGTAAGGTTGACTCTGAGAAGAGGAATGGTGGATAAAGAGCAAGGTAAGCTACTGGTGGCCCTGTTCTGCTCTGAATCCAATTTCCAAAATACTTGAGATGTTGCCATCAACGGCAGATAAAGGACGTGGTACCAGCCCCTGCTTTTGGCTGTTGAGCTCAGCGGAGACTGTGCCCATCTGGCTGGCGTGATACCTGCTCTGCAGTGTGGAGACATAAGATGTTCCTGGGTCATCTAACAGCATCCATCTCATCCCAGCATCCCTGTTTAGTGGAGGATTGTTGCTTGAACCATCTCAGCAGCTCTAGCGGTGGTCCTCTCCTTTTGTGTCGGGGACAAAGCAAGTGTAGGGAAACACTTGTGTAGCTACAGCTGCTTCGGCTCCTGAGCTTGATAGTGCAAGTGTGGTTTCCATTAGGAGTGGTCCCCAAGCTGCTGGCTGGAAGGCCGTGCTGGGAGAACCCTGCCAATCCCCCTCTCTACTCTCCAGAGCATCTTCTGCTGGCTCTTTGTCATGAGGAGTCACGTTGAAATCTTCAGTGTCATTTAATGTTCCTCCTTACACCTTCTGGATAGAGAGGGGACTTGCCCGACCCGGGGGAGACTGAAATGTGACCAAAAATTGGTCCAGTTCACTGCTATTTCACTCTGGCTGGCGTGATACCTGCTCTGCAGTGTGGAGACATAAGATGTTCCTGGGTCATCTAACAGCATCCATCTCATCCCAGCATCCCTGTTTAGTGGAGGATTGTTGCTTGAACCATCTCAGCAGCTCTAGCGGTGGTCCTCTCCTTTTGTGTCGGGGACAAAGCAAGTGTAGGGAAACACTTGTGTAGCTACAGCTGCTTCGGCTCCTGAGCTTGATAGTGCAAGTGTGGTTTCCATTAGGAGTGGTCCCCAAGCTGCTGGCTGGAAGGCCGTGCTGGGAGAACCCTGCCAATCCCCCTCTCTACTCTCCAGAGCATCTTCTGCTGGCTCTTTGTCATGAGGAGTCACGTTGAAATCTTCAGTGTCATTTAATGTTCCTCCTTACACCTTCTGGATAGAGAGGGGACTTGCCCGACCCGGGGGAGACTGCAGATTATACAAAAATTGGTCCAGTTCACTGCTATTTCACGTCCCTTGTTAACACACGGGTTATTGGCACTGTACATCTGTTGGCTCCGTACTTATTCTTGAAAAAGCAAAGACTCCCTTTGAGCTGAGCTAGGTATCATACCGTCATTAACAAGCTGCGCCTCGTTGAAAATCTGTCAAGGAAAACTGACTTATTTTGCATTTGCTACTTTGCACAAAAGAGAGGCACGGTAAACTCTTGTGCCGTAATGATTTTCTGTCTGTCTTGATGGGACATAATGAGATAAATTCAAGTCCTTTTTTGAAGGCTAATTACATCGAGTACACACTAGACGTGGGCTGCCCTCGTTATATGGTGCGCGTTTTTGTGCTTTCATTTCCCCATCCCTATTGTCTGCGTGTGCAAGTGAGTTTGATTTGGCTTTGAAATACAAATTGTAGGCTGGAGAGGAACCGTTTGGTGGTCTCCTCTCCCAGAAGACTCTCCAGAGATTGCGGAACAAGTCCTTGCTGTAGGCAGGGCAGCATTTGAAGGTAGCTGTGAAGGAAATTAAAGAACTTAATTCCGGGCTAGAAGCCGAGGAACGTGCCATAAAGCAGGAGGGCAACTCGTGGTAAGTCTGCTAAGAGCCATGAAAAACAAATTCAGCCCTAGGTGTGTTCACCGGTCCTGGTGTGTGGACACGAAGCAGTTGAACTGCGTCCTGCAGAGCTCACAGCCTAGATATGGAGCAGTAGTTGGGGGATGAGCAATTTGGGAAATTGGGATTTTAAAACCTGGTAATCCCTCCCATCTTACTAGTTGTCCTCTGCTTGTCTTGTGGGAAGAAAAAGGAGCTGGTTAAAGATGAGCGAGGATGCCCAGTTTGGAGATATCAGCATCCCCTAAAGTCAGATGGAGAGGCTGCAGGTGCATGGTGGAGGTCTGGAAGCCCATGGTGGCCTTGGGAACTGCAGGGCTGCAGGCACTTGCTGTGAGAGCTTTGTGGTCCAGACAAGACTGAAGGTGGGGCCTGGGGGAGGTCTGTTGGATGTTCCTGTATCACATCCCTTTTGACACATGAGTGAAGTGCTGGAGCGTGTCCAGAGGAGAGGCATGAGTGAAGTGCTGGAGTGTGTCCAGAGGAGAGCCACCAAGCTGGTGAGGGGTCTGGAGAACAAGTCCTGTGAGGAGAGGCTGAGGGAACTAGGCATGTTTAGAAGAGGAGGCTGAGGGGAGACCTCCTTGCCCTCTACAACTACCTGAAAGGAGGGTGTAGAGAGGCAGGGGTTGGCCTCTTCTCCCAAAGGACGAACGACAAGACCAGAGGAAACGGTCTGAAGTTGGGGCAGGGGAGGTTTAGATGAGATGTGAGGAAGAATGACTTTGCTGAGAGGGTGGTGAGGCCCTGGAAGGGCCTGCCCAGGGAGGTGGTGGAGTCACCATCCCTGGAGGTATTTAAGAAACGTGTAGACATGGCTCTTCAGGGCATGCTCTACTGCCCAAGGTTATTGGTTTATGGCGAGGTGTTGAGTGTGGGGGTTAGTTGGTGGGTGCGGTGTTTTTGGTGGGCGTTTGGTGTGGTGTGTTTTGTATTTGTTTGGGGTTTTTTGGTTTGGTTTTTTTTTTTTTTTTTTGTGGTTGGACTCGATGATCTCAGAGGTTCCTTCCAACCACTAAGATTCTGTGATTCTGTGATTCTGTGATGTTCATCAGCAAAGACTTACATGGTTGGCTCTAGGAGTTAGGAGTTGATGTGCAAGTGTCTCACCTTTGGTAAAATAGGTAGTGATGTAAAAGTTGAGAGAGTTTCTCTGGTACTGCAGGACGTAGAGCCAGCTCTAGAGGCAGTTGTCCCAGTTGGTCCATCAGAGGAAAAGGGATCTAAAAAGCTAGACTTCATCTACGGTGAAGATGAATTCTGTCATCACTGGCTGAATTTTAGCACATGACCTTCGTGCTGTGGTTGTCTGGACATCTCCGGTGGGGTGATATTAATGCTTTTGCTGTGAGCTCGTTTGCTTTGCCAGCTAATTACAACTGGGGAAGTTTGAACGCGGATGGAAAGACTTTGGGAATTCCAGGTAACTTCTGTAAGCCTGATAGCAGGCTTGTGCATCATCGATATCGCGTTGGGCAGAATTATTTTAGAGCATCTCTAAAGGAAAAAAAAAAAAAGCAACAGCCTCAACAGCCTTTTGGAGCTTCTTTACAATGTCTCTATTTCTCTGCTTTTTGAGACAAACAGAAAATCAAGTTTTCCTCCTTTTGCTAACAGATTTTGTAATTTTACGTGTTGCAGTAGGATTACATGGCCAACTGGTTTTTCCTAAAGCTGGGGTGGATACACACAAAGTGGTAGCTCCTGGCTGAGTTTGCACAAGCAGGTGAAGTGCAGAGTGCTTTGCTTAGGTGAAAGAGCAGTTTCAGGAGGCTGGTTGACAAGCTATTACTGTATTCACTTCAAATTATTTTTAAAAAGAAGAAAAAAAAAAATCCAAAGCTACCCTTAGCCGTATATTACATTTGTGAGAACAAAAATACCTCTTGTATCAAGTCTCGTCGTGCATATATATTGGAGCCAGAAGGAATATCTTGTATGGCAAGCATGCCTCGTTCAGACTATACCCAGAGCAGTCTGTCTTCTGTGGAGCACTTTAAAATTCATCACAGGTTTGCAGGGGAAAAGACCCCTAGGGAAGTAGCCTTATCACAATGTCTTAAAGCTGTCAATCTTGAGATCCCCTCCACCGCCGTGGTGCTGTTTGTTTGCTGAGACATTTAATTCCGGGTGTAGAACATCTTAAACTTAAGCCCTGAAATGTATTTTACCTGTTTTTCTAAGACTGAATGAAAAAAAAAAAACAAAAAAAAACAACCCACAAACACAATCGTGTTTTCTAAAGCAGAGCCCAAAAGATGTTACCTCTAATGCATTCAAAAAGGAAAATAAATACCCAGTGAAGGCAGATGCTAGGGAAAAAAAAATATCAGCAGCTTCTCATTCTGTTTTCATGCAGATATTTAAGTATGCACTGTCTGTTAGTGGCATAGATTGTTTTAAAATAGAGAAAACCAAATAGCTCATGAGTGTTTGTCTGTTTTCTAGCTGAAGAGATGTTGGGTTTTTTTTTTTTTTTAAAAAAAAAAGGAAATGTTGAGAGACTGATTTGATGATGGGAGAGCTTAGCCTGTGGTTCTTCTTTTCACAGTATGCAGACCTGGGTTCTTCAAAGCTTCACCCCACAGTCCATCCTGCAGCAAATGTCCCCCTCACAGCTACACGCTTGATGAAGCATCCACATCTTGCCTGTGTGAAGAACACTATTTTAGGAAGGAATCAGACCCACCTACAATGGCCTGTACAAGTAAGCACGTGCCTCTAGGGTTCTTTTTAATCCTTTCGAGCTGTTCCTGTAACTGTGACTAGAAATTATGATCCTAATTAATGTGCTTTTCCAGCCTGGAGGCTGTAGCTAGCCCTGACACACTTGTAATGGCGCCGGCTTTGGCCGCTCCACCCCTAAGTTACACGACGTGGAACCAAGGGGTGGTTTTTTGGTAACGAAACCAGGAAAGGTTTTTTTGTAAGGAAGGGATGCTCCTGTCTCCTCGCTGTCCTCTCCTGGGTGGACTCAGCCAGCAGCTTGGCCTTTGGGCACCCACATCGCTGCCTGCGTGGGTACCGGCGCAGAGGGAGAAGCTCCTGGCAGCCCTTAGGCAGGGACAGGGTTTACAAGGTCTTGGCACCATCTGAGGATCATCTCGTAGCTCATTTTGAGTAAATGAGTGAGGAGAGAGCCCTTTCTTTCCGAGCCACCCAGAGATGGTTCTTTTTTCAGGATAACCTCCCAACTCTGCAGTGGAAACTGCTTCTCCAAACCTGCGGCAAAAACGGGGAGTCCCATCCCCTAGGTGTAGGGGGAAGGTAGCACATCGAGCAAACTGGGGGGGGATTGGGAGCCCAAAGTGGAGTCAGTGGAACCAGAATGGCTAATTTTTGCCCTTTTCCTGCCAAGTGGGAGCTCTCCTGTCGGCTCCACCTTCAAAGTTCCTCGTTGGGTTTATGTTCCAGGTACTCAGGGCTGAGGGTAGAACAGACCCGGGGTTTTTGCTGAGCTGGGTCTGTCACTCTCCAAACGCCATTTTTGCAGGGCAAAAGGGGTTTAAAAAAAAGGACTGAAGTGAGTTGAATGAACTGCTTGGGGGAGGAGCAGGTAGAGCTTCCGAGGAACCGAAGCGGTGGAGGAAAAAGTAGGTTTGTGGGTCTGACTTCCATACTGCTTCCTGGCATCCGGGGGGTTACTGCCTTTTTTGTGCCTTCATCCCGGTGAATAAAGATGCCCTTCCTGGCATCCCACCTTTGCACTTCAAAAAGAGCCAGAAAAAGGCCGTTCCTGTTGGAGAGATGCTTTCGCAAAGGAGATGGCCCTGGGCAGGTCTCTGCTTGCCCGCAGGAGGGAATCTGAGTAGAAATTGGGGGGCCTTGAACTCCACGTTGGCTTCTCAGCAGCCACCTGGAGCGTGATGCACGTGGCTGTTGGAAGGTGTGCTGCAGGGAAGGAGAAGACAGCCTCAGGCAGGGTGGCTGGTGCTGTAGGATCAGAGTGGTCTTCGGGGAGCGAGTCGTGCAAGCACTTCTCAGTTTTGTTAAATAGACATGCTGGTGCATTTTGGAGCAGTAGCTAGGGTGGGTTACAGCACGAAGAACTTTGATAGCAGGGCTTCTTGATGGCCATTTTGCCCCTTGGCTTGACTTAAAAAATGTAGAGGAATGAGAGATGATGACATCTAGCCTGATGTTGGGAAACGGGAAGGGAGAGGAGGACAATGAAACTAGTGAAGGGCCTAGAAGACAAATCATATGAAGAGCAGCTGAAGGAGCTGGGGCTGTTTAGTATGAGGAAGAGGAGGCTGAGGGGAGACCTCATCACCCTCTACAACTACTTGAAAGGACACTGTAGAGAGGTTGGTGCTGGTCTCTTCTCACAGGTAATTAACAATAGAACGAGAGGGAACGGCTTCAAGCTCCTACGGGTAGGTTTAGACTGAACATTAGGAAAGAATTTTTCACAGCAAGAGTGGTCAGAGACTGGAACAGGCTGCCCAGGGAGGTGGTTGAGTCACCATCCCTGGATGTGTTTAAGGGACGTTTAGATGGGGTACTGAGGGACATGGTGTAGGGGAGGACTTCGTAGAGTAGGGTAGATGGTTGGACTCGATGATCCCAAGGGTCTTTTCCAACCTCAATGATTCTATGATTCTGAGCTCTGGAAATGCACATCAGTTTGGCTTTTCTGTGCAGGCAGAACCAAAGCCAGGGATTAATACAGAGTTGTGCTGGTGTCATCACAGAATCATAGAATTGCCCAGGCTGGAAGGGACCTCCAAAGGCCATCTAGTCCGACCCCCCCGCAGTCAGCAGGGACACCCCCAACTAGACCAGGTTGCCCAGGGCCTCATCGAGCCGGGTTACCCATCCTGTCCATCCTGCTGGTGAATTAGCACAGGGAAAGAGCTGCCATCCCTGAGGAAGAGGTATATGGATGCTTGGGACCTGAGTGTAGGGCAGGATTTTCAGAGGGGCACGTGGTGTCTCTCTCTGTCCCTTCTCAGGATGGAGCGTTACCCTCTATCCAGTCCATCCTGCTGGTGAATTAGCACAGGGAAAGAGCTGCCATCCCTGAGGAAGAGGTATATGGATGCTTGGGACCTGAGTGTAGGGCAGGATTTTCAGAGGGGCACAAGCAAGGTTGGTGACCAGCTCGAGTTAAAAAAGAAACGAAATTTGAGTGCCTATCTCCCCCAGGTTTCTGGTGCAGTTTGAGTTCTGTAGGAAAAGGCTGTAATTTTTTATTCTGCAAATGGCGTAGGATTTTAGTTTTATGTTTGTTTGGGGGTTTTATGTTTTATTTGTTATTGTTGGGGTTTTTTTAAGTTTGTTTGGGGTTTTTAACGTTTGGGTGGTTTGGTTTCAGGGTCTTTGAAAAATTTGCTATAAAAAAGCAAGTTCAGTGCCTGAAGCTGCATTAGGATATGGCTTGGTGTGGGGGTACCAAGTGCTTTTGGGGCAGATGAGGGGTTTAATCCTGACCAAGGCACTGCTCAAGCTTCTCTTGCCTCCTGCAAACTCCAGAGTAGCAGTTGAGGGTGTTGAGGGTGTTGCAGCATCTCTGCTGGTGTTCCCTCTTACTATCCCAAAAGAAATCCCTTCTCCACGTGCTTCAGTCATCTTTGCTTGCCCTCAGCATCCTTTCTTGGGATTTTTCTCCTAATCCAGCTATATTTGTGCTGAAGGTGACGAGGAGGGCCCTCGTGCTACCTACCCTAGCTCAGCTCTAGGGGTAGTAAATTTTGGCAGGGACAGTAAAGAGTAGGTAGCAACACTAACATTTTAAACCAGTCCAATTACATCTGGAAGGGAACACCTCATTCGTGAACCGAAACACAAGCGAGACAGACTTGAGTCATGACTGGTAGGAAAATACTGCAAGTTTGGGGTATATTTTTATTATTTATTGCTGCAGAAGTTAATAATATTCATAGGATTTCCTCAACTTGAAATCTAGTTAATTTTAGAGAATACATCAATGTGCATTTTCAGTTCTATACCAGCAAAGTCCCCTTGCAGGTCGGTATAGCTATAAAATCACATTTTCCTAATTTAAAGTGAATACTTTTCAGTCCCAAGCTGCATGAGTCTGCTCACCAGCACCAGCATCACTAAAGAAAGCAACTGCTACATCACTGTCAGCTGCTCAGATAAGTACAGTGGAAGAGGAGTACATTTTTATTTAATTTTTCCAGTTCCTCAAGCATGTTTTAGAACTTTCATAAATAACGATTGGTAATCTTGCAATTAATAGCGCTGTGATGCCGTCTGAAATAATTATTGCCCACAGACAAAAAAAAAAATAAAATAATATGTTTGGTCCTGATGGGCTTTTGAGAATTCTCTTATTATTATGTATCTTCCAGGAAGTAATTGCACTTTATTTCATCTTAACTAAGTAATCCTGGTTGCAGTTCCTTGCACAACATCTCTTTAAATTGAAAACATAGTTACACCCTTTATTTTTTTACCCCTCCTATCTCTGACAAGTAACCCCATTGCTGTTTAGAGCATATGGGGGAAATATTTTAAATAGTGTAACACATGGGATAAACTGAAGATTTTATAGTGTTTAGTGTAATAGTCTGCTCACAAAAGGTTTACAGTTAACTTTGAGTGTGTGCATATATGGATTTGTATCTCAAGTGTCATTTCTCTCCCAGCTTATATTTTTTAAAATACGTGCATCAGCAAACAACAGGTTTGCTGTCCATCAAGAAAAATACCACTATCTTTGTCTTCAGAAAGCATTTGCCTCTGGTCAGTAAATTGTGGGGCAGCAGGGGTGAATATTACCTGTTTAAGGGATAAAGTAGCCAATTGAAAAAAAAAAAACCCAACAAAAAAAAGATAAAATCAGTAAACTGATATCTTTGTCCTTGACAAAAGGAGGTTGGGAATTAAAACAGACCTTCTTAGCAGACCTAGGCCCCCCCTCTTCTGAAGGTAAAGCACCGTTTTGTTCTCCCAGCTGTGATTTATCAAAGTTTTACCCAAGTGTGGTTTCAGCATTCTTCAAGTAGGTCTTGTTAGATACCTGCAGACTACTAAAGACCTTTCCCTGAGCCCCTGTGAGAATGCTAATTTTATAGGTTATGAAGTCCCACTAGCTTCAAAGCACTTCCACTGAAGTTGATGTTTTTAAACCTTCAAGAAGAGCAGCTGACTCTCCTGTACAAAGCAAGTAAAAGCCTCTGGTGACTTTACAAAAGTAATAATTTATCCTCTGTTAAAGACACATTGTCCAGTAAGTGTTTCTTATGCCTGAGTTCTTTATTTTTACCTACAGTACTGGTAGCAGTAAAAGGGCATTCATCCAGTCGAAGGAAAAATAGGGCAATTTCACCGGTTAAGAAAACATATAAAAAAAAAACAACCCTTGAGGGCAATAACTCCACAGACACAGCTCCAGTGATGAATTTCATAGTTTCCATTATATCAGTAGGAGTATGACAGTGCAGAAAACAGTCCTGTACTTGGGCTGTCATTTGCTAAATAGCACAGGGTCCCTGCTCGTAGGCTTGCTCCCAGTTTGGGGTGATCTGAAGTGATCGCAGAACGAAACGGAGCTGATCGGCCGTTTTCTAAACTAATTTAAACTAATTAAAAGCAGTCCTCAACTGCTTTTCCCCTCCCTGCCAAAAAAGCTTTGAGTTGAAATCACGACAGCGTTTTATCAGCGTTATCAATTTTATAGACTTAAAAAGGGGACAGATAGAGGAAAATGCTTCTGGTTTATGAGGTAATTTTATTTTTGCCACGCCGCCTGTTTTAGATAACAAAATGGGTTTAATTATCACAACAAAACGAGAAGGTGGCAGCCCAAGACAGGGTGTTAAATCCCTATGCATTTCTACCTGGTGAAGGTATTTGCTGGGCTCTTTTCAAGGAACTGCTCATGAGTTTTGGCAGCTTCTTTCAAACCAAAGGGGATGCGTTGCCTTCCCTCCTCTGCCTCCCTTGGAGAAATCACAGTCTTTGCTGTATAGCTTCTGCTGGTGCCACAATTAAAATCCACCCTGGCTTGCTTTGATTAAATTTCCCCTTTCTTCCTGATGCATCCCTGAGCACGCAACGTGTGGATCTCCTGCCTGAGATCCCTGCTTGTCCTTTCACATTGTCTTCAGGGGGTAGGTGCAGCTGGCCCTCCATCCACCACCCAAGTCTGTTAAAAACAAAAACCTTCTGCAAGTGAGCAGTTTTGAAGGTGTCTCCAGATGGGCTTTGCCTGCCCGGGCATGGCCTTTCCCAGCAGGTTGGAGCTCACCATTTGCAGGAGCTTGGGTACCTCTGGAGCAGATGTTCTTCCTCGGTAGCCTTGCCAGCACCGTGCTGGCATCCTGAGTAGGGGGGCTTGGCTTGGTTGGTTGGTTGGTGTGGCTAACCAACCCTGCTAGAGCTTGGCAGGGACCGAGAAGGCTGAGGTTGAGTAGTTGTGTTTCCAGTGGCCCGTGTAGATCACCATCTGCTTTGGCCAACCCTCACCAGCCATCGCGGAGGTGTGATTTGGATGCCCAAGCTTGGGTTTTGCTGTTGCCAAATAGCTGATGGGGAGAGGTGGGTGCATGCACAGGAGAGATTTGGCATCTTGAGTACCTTTGTGGCGTCAACACCCCAGTGTGTGTCTTTTTTTCAGAACCTAGGGCTACTAACATAGGGGCAGTGGGGCGAGGAGGGAGAATCTTGCCCCTGGTGAAGCTGAAAATGACTTGAGCAGAGCAAAGATCTGCTGTGCCCTTCACAAGAAGAGCAAGGAGAGCACCAGAGGCAATGCCCTGGCATAAAGTGCTCCTCCTCTTGGGTTTAAGCCATCCCTGTGTCCTGTCCTCCCGTGTGGGTGTCTACATCCCAACACAGACCTCTTGAGGTGAGGTGGGAGCTCTTCAGAACAAACCCCCATTTTCCCTGTTCTTCAGGTGCTGCTGCAAATGATCCCCCTGTATTTTTTGGCACGTGAGCAACGGGGCATCTTCTTTTTCAGCCTAGAAAGTAGTAGAGAAGCAGGACGACTGATAATACTGTTTTTACCATGTGTTTTTCTCACTTTACAAACCAGGACCCCCCTCTGCTCCTCGGAGTGCCATCTCAAATGTTAACGAGACTAGTGTCTTTCTGGAATGGATTCCCCCCGCTGATACTGGTGGAAGGAAAGATGTGTCTTATTATATTGCATGCAAGAAGTGCAGCTCACCCTCGGGTCTGTGTGAGGCGTGTGGTGGTCATGTCAGGTACCTCCCCCAGCAAACCGGCCTGAAAAACACCTCTGTCATGATGGTGGATCTGCTTGCTCATACAAACTATACCTTTGAAATTGAGGCAGTGAACGGAGTGTCCGACCAGAACCCCGGAGCCCGGCAGTTTGTGTCTGTAAATGTAACCACAAACCAGGCAGGTAAGTGGATCTTCAACCTGGGGAATGTCTGGGGTGGGTGTCCAAGGCAGTCGCGGACCTCCCTTCGAAATGGGTGCAAGTCCCCAGCATGGAAGGCTGGACTTTGGCCTCTTCAGATATGGGGTTGGTGGGGTGGTGGTTATGTCTCATAGGTTATAATTACTGCAGTCTTCAACATGTTTCCTTCCAGCAGGACATAATTTTATAGGTTTTGTGGCTTTTTCCTTTTACACTAAGCAGCTCAGAAATCCCTCTGCTTCTTTGCGTTTTGGTGTATCCACCCACTCAACCAGAAAGAAAAGAGTTGCCTCTGCTGTTGGGAAAGGAGAATTTTTAGGAGTTCGTTTCGATTCCAAATGCCAGTGGTTAAAACATCCTAACTTTGCAAACAGTTTACCCTAGGAGAATTGTTTTGAGTGACTTTAGGAAATTTAATACCTGTGATGCTGTGATGCTAAAGCGACTGGACTCAGGCTGGTGAAATATGGTACCTTGTCACTGCTTCTCCAGCAAGGTAGGGCTGAGGTGTCACTGCATACTGTGTCCTTCTTGGTTTTGCACTCTACAGGCAGAGATCATTTAGACTGCTTTGTTATTTTGTCCAGGGCTCAGGTCTGTTTCCCTTTCCTTTGTGCAGCAATTGAAAAGAGCTGTCACCTGGGATGCAACCAGGGAGTTGCCGTTGTCCCCTGTCATTTGGAGGTGTGATGGGAGGCAAAAACATCATTACATCTCCTTCCACGTGCATCACCACATCAGGCACGTCACACGGCTTCTGTAAGCCCTGGAGACCTTTCTGTCCTTCTCTTGTCCCTCATGCTCCTGTGGTTTGGGGTCTCTCCCTTTGCAGACCTGGCTGCCTTCCTGCCACTTCATTCAGGGCTCCCCAGTTGGTGCTTGTCCACTGGTGGAGCCCTTCCAGGAGTGTGAGCTGGTGGCATTTGGGAACACGAGGACTGTGTTCCCAGATCACAGGAGCCACCCCTTGCCTTGTCCTTATGGACAGGGCTTAGGAGGAACCTTGGGGTGGTGCAGTCACTCCTGGCAGCTTGCTGGAGATGGATGGATCCTCACTGTGGAGCAGAAAAAAGCTGACTGGAGCAGGGCTGCATTTCATTCCTGCCACCCAGGTGTCCACACCTGAGCTTGGCAGCCCAGCAGCGAGAGAAGGTGGTTGCATCAGGCTTCATCAGATACCTGTGCTGGTAATTAGACTGGATTGTCAAAGTGTTGGACACATCGTTCTGATATGTCTCAAGGAGAGGAAATAAAGGGATGCCAGGGTTGCTAGTGATGGATGTGGCAGGAGATCTTCTGGAGGAACATCAGTATGACACCTGTTGAAGGCACCAGTTTAGTGCAGATCACTGGGTGTCATGGTCCTCATGCTGTTTACTGTCTTCCCGTTGTGAAGGCTGCTGCCAGTAATTCTGATTTTGGAAAAAAGTCTATTTTCCTGTTAGTGGGTTTGCGTTAGTATTTAATTGCTGGCGTTGGATTTTCTGTGATGTGTGGAGTTAAACCCTCATGAACCTCAGTAAATGTAGCTGCAGGAGAAGAGGTGATACACTGCTGATGGGTGCAAACTGTGAGGAAACGGTCCTGGTTTGTCCCAAACTCCCCACAGTTGCAGCAGGATTTATCCACGTAGCTGCCTTCCTGTGCATCAGGGCAAGGATAACCCCCCTCATCACCTCCATCCTTCTGATAAAAGGTCCATTACAGGATCTGGTAGAGCTGTGACGAATGTGCTCATGCTGAGGACAAGTGAGTGTAGCTTCTGGTTGGGTCTCACTGTTTACCTGGGTAGAGCTGCAATCAAGGGAGATACTAATGGATGGAGCTGGGAGTGTTTAATTCACTGTGTGGTGTTGAAATTGCATCTGGGTGCTCTGGTGTTTGGCTTGGCAGGAGGTTCAATCAAACCTCTGTCCAAAGCAAGAAGTGGTGACTGCATTGTGTTGTCTCTTTTGACTGGTCCCACCACACATTCCTGAGGAGAACCAGGCCGGTTTGCTGGCACTGTAGCATCAAACATGCCTCCTGCAATGTGCTTTCTGGGGGAATTGTGAATTCCTGAATTGTGGCAGAAATAAAGCAGCAGTAGAGGGGGACTCTGGAGATCAGACTGGCTGCCGAGCCTCCAAAGTGGGCGTCTGTTTTCCTAAGGTGCATCTGAAAAATTCACTTTTCCTCTTTTGTCCTTTGAGGCAAGTAGAGGAGATGTGCAGGTGGGAGTGGTCCCTTGCCCAAAGATGCTGGATATCTCTGAAAAAGCCTCACCTTCAGCCATCCTCTCTGAAATAAGAGCAGCCAGGGCACACGGGGCTTCAGAGAGTCTCAACCCACTCATCTTTCCCCTGAAATTCCTACCGAGAGACGTGGCTCCGGGGCCTCAGCCTTTCCCTCACAAAGTCTTTCTGATGGTATGATTATATTTTCATGAAGGCTGCTGTAATGAAGTTGAGTCACTGAAGGCAGTGACACAAAGCCAACCGTAGCAGCGGGAGAAACCCTGCTACAAGAACTGCTGGCTGCAGAAAAATGCCCAAAAAAACCCCAAATGGCACGCTGTGGGCTAGGTCTGGCTGCTGGAGCCCTGCTGGCAGGTATTCACTAACCCAGCACTGCAGAGAAATGCCAAGGTCTGTTTTGTTGGTTTGGCTTTTGTCCCTTCCAAAAAGCCCACGCTGATTTCAGGACCACAGAGAAGGTGCAGGCAGTGGGGTGCTGGGCATGGGAGCTTTTGGCAGCAGCAGCAGCTACCTCTGGTTTAGGCTCTCAAAGGGATGGCTTCCTGATAAAAAAAAAATGTGGTTTTCTCATTTCTTATTTTTCAAAATAATTTGTCCCTCTTCCTCTCTCCCCCATTTGAAATAATGAGAAAAAGAACTGGCACCGGCAATCAGTCTGGCATTTTCAGACTGATGTAATTTTCCCCTGAACTTCTGAAATCAGATTTGGAAATACAAGCGAAGGAAACAGTAATGTTTTCTGCAGAAGAGGAGGCAGATCAGCTAATCTCAGCTGGTGACCCCAATGTGCTTCCCTGGTGACCCCAGCGTGCTTCCCTGGGGACCTGATGGTACTTGAGGTGGGACCAGTCCACCTCAGATGCTGTGGCCTTAGGCTCTGGGTACAAGACTAGTTCCCCCGTCACCTTCTTGCAACTCCCAAACCTCTGTTGTTTCTGTGGGATTTTACAGGTGGTTTCTGCTGGAAAACAGGTATCTAGAAGGGGTGAGCAACACCACAAGCCAGGGGAGGTGGCCTCCGTGGTGACTACCCTAGAGCTGCTGCAGGCAAACAGAGGACCTAACCCTAAAGGGTTCTCAGCCATTGGAATGGGCTGCCCAGGGAGGTGGTTGAGGCCCCATCCCTGGAGGTGTTCAAAAGCCGGGTTGATGTAGTGCTGGGAGGTCTGGTTTAGTGATGATGTTCCTTGTTTGTTGTGGGGGTTTTTGTCAGTTAGGTTGATGGTTGGACAAGATGATCTTTGAGGTCCCTTCCAACCTAGAAGATTCTGTGATTCTGTGACCTTACTCCTTTCCTATGAATATGGGTTGGCCAAAGCATAGCTCTCCCCTGTAGGGATTGCTGCTAAATACGTGCCCAGGGGACTTCCTGGCACAGATGGCAAGGAGCCATCTGTAATGCACTCTCACAGCACGTTAAAACACGTGCCCTTGTGCACGTGGACGGGAGCCCAGTGAATAATTCATCAGTGGAAATGGTAGGGTTGAGTTCTTCCTCTTCTTCTTCATGGTTTTGCTCAAGTTTACTGACTTGCCACCTCCTTAGACAGTTTTCAGGGAGCAGTCTGCACGGGATGCTAATATTGAAGTTTGCTTTTCAAGTGACAACCGTGTAACGTTTGGGTTTTTTGTTGGTTTTTTTTTTTTTTGTCTCGGCGATTTCACCAAGCTGGTTGATTAAGTAATGCTGTCACTCTAGACAGAGATGTGCATCTCCCTCGAGGTCTTTCTTCTTCTTATCTGCCCTGTATCCAGAAAGCACCTACCGTGACGTCTTGGTCAGAGACGTGTGTCTCATAATAGGTGGTGATTCACGGTTGCCTGCGTGCCCGCTGTGTCATCCTAGGAGCACACCAGGAAGACACAACATTTAAAACCTTTCTAGGCTTAAAACCTGCCAAGAGTATTCACTTTAAGCCATTCTAAACAGCCAAGCAATGGGGTTTTTTTTTGCTTTTTGTTTCCAGCTTCTCCCATGCTGGGCATGGCTTCAGGCTCCAGGCACGGAGCTGGCCTGGAGGTGGGGGGTGTGAGTGGGGCCGTTCTCCTGTTGGCATCACAAGTGTCACGGACTTTTTTGCACTTAAAGACCTTCAAAACTGTGAATCACATGTAAAGACCTTCTTTGTGTGTGTTTCAAGATAAGGCTCCTGCCTGTTTTCTGTTTGAAAAGTCAGAAGCTGGTGTTCGGTCCCCTTCTGGGACCTGCGTTATATTTTTGAGCCTTTTCTGGGGAGGAGGGGAGGAAGGATCCAGATGTGCCTCAGGGAGTCTTCATGCCCGATGCCAAGCCAGAGGTAGGAGTTGCAATCTGTGGTGCAGCAAGGCTGTTTAAGTGAAGGTGCTGGAGAACAGGACCTGGCAAGCTGTACTGCTGCCTGGGAGGCATGACTAGGTGCTTGCTGGGCCCAAAAAAACCACTAGATAGTTGGAGCAGCTGGAGAGGGCTTGGAGCAGGGAGGGGTGCTGAAAGCCGTGGTCTTCACTCTGATTGTTGGATTCACTATTGGAGACATGGACAGTGGGATTGAGTGCACCCTCAGCAAGTTTGCTGATGACACCAAGCTTGGTGACGTGGTTGACACGCTGGAGGGAAGGGATGCCATCCAGAGGGACCTGGTCAGGCTGGAGAGGTGGGCCTGTGCAAACCTCATGAAGTTCAGCCAAGCCAAGTGCAGGGTCCTGCACCTGGGATGTGGTAATCCCAGGCACAAATACAGGTTGGGTGGAGAATGGGTTGAGAGC